GTGAGCGGCTCCGCGCTCGCCGGGCAGCTTCTCCATCTCCGGGTGTGTGGGGGGGTGTGTGGTGTCCCCTCGGCTCCGGTGGGCTCCGCTGAGCTGCCCCTGAGCGCCCGGCGCCGGGAGGTCCGTGCTCGGCGTCAGTCCCCGGTGTGGCCGCACCGCATGCGGTACTCCTCCTGAGGGTCTCCTGGCTGACCCCTCGGCAGGGCCCGAGCGGGCCGCGTTAAGGTAGGGACGAGGCTGCCTTTGCTCCCAGGACGACGGTATTTGATGGGTTTCTGCGCACAAGTGAACGGCGCTGTGTTTAGCGCAGCACACGTTTCTTCTGCGGGGCAGCGACGTGCGAAGTCTCGGTTCTGCCAGACTTGAATTAGGGCTGTAAATAGATTTTTTAGCCTGTGGGGTGGCAGAGTTCTGCTGCAACCGTCTGGCCGTGCTGCCCGTTGCAGCTGTATTCATATAAGGAGTTCAGTTGCTGAACACAGAGTTTGCATTATGGAATTTTGGAAATCCTAGGCATCACTGCTGTATTTGAAGGCTTTTTACAGAGGTTGCAGCACTTTACATTTACATTGTCTTAGGTAATTCAGTAGCACGTTTCAAGAGAGGATGGTGAGATAAGTGACATCCCTTATACCATGTTTGTGTGGCTGTCGCTAAACACAACCTACAAGAGTCTTCAAAGGGAGCGTTTGCCTCCTTGCTAATTTGGTAGTATCATAAAATTCTCTGGCCTTATTGTTGTCTTTTTAAACCTACTGCATAATTAATTCTGTTTTTCCCAGGCACTATGGAGGAAGGAAAAGAAATGGCAGCACATTGCTCAAATCATGTGATTGAAGAAAAACTGGGTAGTTGCATGAGCAATGGTAGGTGGAGAACATGTTGGGATATTCTCTACCAGGTCTGTCCCTTATTTAAAAGTTAAGACAGTTCAGATCAGTAGACCTCCTTTATCTGCTTCATCTTGTTCTGTGTACTTGTTTCTTCCATGGGCTGCTGTTGCTGCTTGTGGAGCACTGGTGCTAGAGCACGTGTAGTAGTGAGACATGATGTCCTCAACCTCTCTTATCTAATCTGAGCTCCTCCCTTTTCCTTATCTGTCTGCTGTAGATTCAATTAATATTGACTAGGAATCAGGAAAAGTAATCTTTCTCACTGGCTCCTGTTACTGTCCTGTGGTAGAACTGGGAAAGAACTGACTGGTAGGACAACTGCGTTATCATATAGCTCTAGATTATATAATCTCACTTCTCTTGATTGGAGGCTGCTGATACCCTTTCCCACAGCCACATCCAGTGTTCCTATTACAGATGCTTAGAAATTAGTGTTAAGCTCTTTCATTATATTTGGGTATCTATCACAATTATGATCATATTTATAGCTGTACCTTCAATTTCTTTGACCAAAACCTTGTTTTTATTATTTTAATTATTTAAACTCGGTAGCTAAAACTTTCTTTGCCATCTGACATCAGCTTCACCAAATTGTCAAAGCATAATGCAATCGCTTTTACTGCACATCCCCACTGTGACAAAATACTTCTTGTTATATTTTCAGAATTGCCTCTTCTGACTGATGAAAAGTTTGATTTTGACCTTTCACTCTCTCCAGCAAGGTGAGTGAAGACTCTACAGGTAAATATACCTTTAAAATGGACACACATAAGGTGCTGGGCTGACTTATTTTTCTTTGTAGTGGAAATGAAGATGAAGTTTTTGTTGGACCATTGGGACACAAAGAAAAATGTGTTGCTGTCAATATTGAAGCAAAAAAAAGTGCTGAAGAAAAGACTGCACCTGCTTTGGATGATAAACTCATGTGGAGCCCACTTACAGGAGAGAAATTTGTGGAAATTTTTAAAGAAGCTCATTTGTTAGCACTGCAAATAGAGACTGAAAGCAAGAATGAGCAGACTAAAATAAGCCAGTCAGAAGAACGGGAAAACAAGATTATAGAAAAGTTTGTGGAAGACTCAAAGTCAAAACTGAAACTACTGAGACACCAAAATATAGCGAAAAGTCCCAGGGCTGTTAAAAGGGAGACATACTGTGTGTGGGATAGCCCAGCGTGTCAGCTGCCAACCTGTTTTCAGGAGTCGAATAAACTTTTGTCAGGTGACGAAACACATGCTCTTCATACTCCTCCAAACAGAAGCCCTGTTAAAATTGGTGTGTACCCTACAAAAATTGCCAGTTCGCCTCTGCCACAAGAAGAGAAAACTAAGGAAAGAAAGGCAACTGGCAAACTGCCAATAGCAAAACCTTCATCAACTCTTGGAAAAAGCAATTTGTTGACTACTGAAAAGGTAAAGACAGCTTCTGGGCAACTATATTTTCTTCAAACATGCCCTTTGTGTTTTAGGAATGCCTAAACTGTTCATGCACTTTTATTTTTAAAAAGTGAACTTTAATCTTATGATGTTTCTCTACCTCCTAAGAACCTTAGGCAGGAAACATTATTATATATGAAAAAGAGAAGTTGGGGCAGATACTATGGTGCAGTAGTCAAGTAGGTTATCTGTTACGACAGTGTAGAGCATCTATAGGCAAATTTCTTTTCCATTGTGTTCCAGTTTTGTGAATACCATCATTCCTAGCTTCTGTTTAAAGACCATTTTGTTGCTGGTAAAATTACTGCAATGTTCTTGGTGATTTAATGTGCAAAAATGGCTTTTACTGTTAAACCTTGTAAATGGTGGGGGGAGATGGACCCCACAATTGTTTTGATAGGACAGGAAAATCTTTTAGCTCTAGTTCTGTCCACAACTTGTCTCCATCGTGAAATGGTATTACATCTAGGAAGTGGCTATGTGACCAACAGAAAATGTATTCTAGGACAGCAAGGAAACAGTTGTGTTAGTGGCCTTGTGTGCACACATCCCAGCCTCTAGCTAGAATATCTTCTGGGGTTTAGTGTCTACACCTTATGGCTTAGGCTTCAGTACATACTGCAGATTTTACTGGAAATGTGATATTGGCTTCTTGGGAACTTCTAGAAAACCGGGGACCCTTTGATTCCTTTGTGTTATAATTATCTTCTTGATTTTGGGTGCTGTAAGAAAAGGCACAGTCTTAATGCTTCAACTTGCCAAACTGTACCCCACTGTCCAAACAGCCAGCTTGGATGATGCAGTCTACTATTGTAATGTCTCATCTTTGGAAACTAATTAAATGGAGGTCTCACAGTTGTAAGGAACAGATGTTACACGATGTAGGTGAAGGTGATTTTGTGAAATTTGTGTGGATGAATTGTTGCAGAAGTGTCCTTAGGTTGATGCCCAATATCTGGGTTCAGGTATGTTCTAGTACTTAGGAAATACATTTGCTAGACTACTTCAAACTGTTAGTCTAAAGACTACAGACTTGACTGGATTCAAAGGCTTCTATTGTTGTCTTGGTTTCTCAACAAAATCAATTTGTGTAAAAAGCTTTATAGTGATTTCTAGAAACACTAGTAGCTTTTAAAATGTTGCATTGGAATTTCCAGCCCAAACTAGGAAAACATACTGGTATTTCTACAAAAAGAGACTTGAACAGCATGGGATCATCTGAAGATCTAATTTCTGATAAATCTAGTGCTGCTTCAGATGTCTTTGAGTCTTCGTTCAATGGCAGTTCCTCAGTGCAAGACAAGAAAGCCCTTCCTGCACCAACGAAGGTAATGGCAAGCATTCTTAATCACAGAATCACAGACTGGCAGGGGTTGGAAGGGACTCTGAAAGATCATCTAGTCCAACCCCCCTGCCAGAGCAGGGTCACCTACAGCAGGTCACAAAGGAACGTGTCCAGGTGGGATTTGAGTGTCTCCAGGGAAGGAGACTCCACAACCTCCCTGGGCAGCCTGTGCCAGTGCTCTGGCACCCTCAATGTAAAGAAGTTTTCCCTCATGTTCAGGTGGAACTTCCTGTGCTCCAGTTTGTGCCCGTTGCCCCTTGTCCTGTTAGTGGGTGCTGCTGAAAAGAGCCTGGCCCCATCCTCTTGACACCCACCCTTTAGTTATTTATAAGCGTTGATAAGGTCCCCTCTCAGTCTTCTCCAGGCTAAAGAGCTCCAGGTCTCTCAGCCTTTCCTCATAGGGGAGATGCTCCAGTCCCCTCATCATCTTTGTAGCCCTCTGCTGGACTCTCTCCAGCAGTTCCCTGTCTCTCTTGAACTGGGGGGCCCAGAACTGGACACAGGATTCCAGGTGTGGCCTTACCAGAGCAGAGGGGGAGGAGAAGCTCCCTCGACCTGCTGGCCACACTCTTCTTAACGCAACCCAGGATGCCATTGGCCTTTTTGGCAACAAGGGCACATGGCTGGCTCATGGTTCACTTGCTGTCCACCAAGATTCCCAGGTCCTTCTCTGCAGAGCTGCTTTCCAGCAGGTCAGCCCCTAACCTGTACTGGTGCATGGGGTTATTCCTCCCCAGGTGCAGGACCCTACACTTGCCCTTATTGAACTTCATTAGGTTCCTCTCTGCCCAGCTCTCCAGCCTGTCCAGGTCAATATGAAAATAATGAAAATGTTAAAATAATTTTTGTGATGTTCTGATAAAAAGAAAAAACTTAATACGGTTTATATACAATGTAGCTTTAAATTAGAAAGTACAATTGTTTTAAAGAAAAGTAGTCTCTGTTCTGTAATTGCCATTCTTGAGTGTGTGTTCTAAGTCTATACTTAAAAACAACTATAAATGTGTTGGATTAGCAAGCATTACCTTTGTTGCAGGCAAGTGATCAGCAATTTTCTGTAAGAAACAAAGTTTTTCATGTGTGTAGTTAACTATACCATGTGAAAAGGTTGCCATAACTTGTATGAAAGTAGAATACCTGTATCTGTTTTGAAGCTTTAGATACTTACTTCCATGCTGCATACCACTTCACTGAATCACAGAATGGCTGATGTTGGAAGGGACTTCGTGAGGTCATCTGGCCCAACCTCCTGCTCAAGCAGGGCCATCTAGAGTCAGTTGCCCAGGACCATGTCCAGATGGCTTTTGAGTATCTCCAAGGATGGAGACTCAACAGCCTTTCTGGGCAACCTGTGCCAGTGCTTGGTGACCCTCGCAGTAAAAAAGTGTTTCCTTGATGTTCAGAGGGAACCTCCTGCATTTCAGTTTGTGCCTATTGCTTCTGGTCCTGTCACTGGGCACCACTGGACACTGTCCTTTCAGATATTTGTATATATTGATGAGATCCACTTTGAGCCTTCTCTTCTCTAGGCTGAACAGTCCCAGGTCTCTAAACTCCCCTCAGATGGGAGATGTTCTAGTCCCTTAATCATCTTAGTGGCCCTTTGCTGGGCTCTTTCCAGTAGTTCCAAATAGCTTTCATACTGAGGAGCCTGGAACTGGATGCAGATCTTCAGGTGTGGCCTCCCCAGTGGTGAGCAGAGGGGAAGGATCACCTCCCTTAACCTGGCTGGCAACACTCCTCCTAATGCAGCCCAGGGTACTGTTAGCATTCTCTGCTGCAAGGGCACATGGGTGGCTTGTGTTCAGCTTGTCCGCCAGCACTTCCAAAGGCCTTTTCTGCGAAGCTGCTTTCCAGCTGGTTGATGCCCAGCATATACTGGTGCCTGAGGTTACTCCTTTAATCCTTTTTAAGTCCATACTCAGGTTTGTGGCAGGAATAAAGTCTGCCTCCAGATGTGATGTTCCAGCTCTGTAAAATAACCCACACATAATGAACTGTTCCTAAGCAAATTCACTTTTTAAACTGTAATCTGAGGAAGGAGAGTCTCTAAAATTCACAAATAAGAAGCTATAATACCAAGAGAAAGCATGGCAAAATAATGTGTTAAATAGTTTTTTGCTTTTGAATAAACTATATTCCCTGATTCAGCCTGGCTTAAAGAAGACAACACATCTGAAACTTCCTGGTGTTGCCAGTGGTCTTACAAGAAAAACTACTTCATCTTCGTCATCAGTTTCCAGCATGAACTCAAGTCTGAATTCAAGTTTATCCATTTCTCCCATAGGAAAAAATGGTAATCACTCTTACTACAGATTTGTGCCACAAATTTTAAAGTAGCTAAGCTTGTCTTGGACTGTGGGTTTGGATATGTTTTAATGGTGTCTAGTACTTAAAAGCAGTAAGAGAAGTTTTGAATGGAGAATAAAATTTTGTAGACTAGCCCAGTAACCCTGTGGACTAAAGGTAAATCTTAGGCTTCTATCATTTGTAAAAACTAGATTTACATAAGCCTGATTGCCTACATGCAAGGGTCTGACACAGCTAGAAAGTAAGCAATGCCTTAGGAAACCAGTTCTTTTTGTACATGATCTTCTCTATTATAGCAAAGTACATGAGCTTCTGAATCTGTAAGCTTGTCTAACTTGACTTCAAAACAAACCAAAACAAAAACCACAACACCAAAACAACTGAAATGTGGAAGGCCTAGTTCTGAGTTTCTGTAAGCCTAGTAAAAGGATGAGCTTTACTCAAGCAGATTGGGAAAAAAAACCTCTGGGGAGAAAACTAATACAACCAAGAAGCTTATACTGTAAGGAGGACATCAGTTTGACCCTTTCAGTAAGCCTCAAAGGATCAGGAAAATGGTATCCTAAAAATACTGACAGAAGTAAGCACCAGAGTTCTTGTAGCTCTGTCAAGATACCAAGTTACTGCAAATTTTCATTTTGTTCTTTGTTTCTGGATGAATAATAATATATCAGTAAAAGTTAAAGCTTAGTAAGTAGCTTATACAATAGAAATGTCTAGTCAAGATTCATCCTATTTAACTACAGACTAGAAGAAACAACCATACAGAAAACTGGGAAAAGCACTTGTGGGGTAGTTCAGCCTGTGCCGCTAATCAGTGTAACTTGAACTATTACCTTCCTGAATGCCTGCTTAAGGGAACTGAACCAACCATGCTGGGAGAGAATATTCGAAATGTAACTTGAATCTGCAAGCTGATTTAGCATTCCTTGAAGAATATTCTTTGACTTGATTGCAGTAATTCAGGGGTTTGGTGAGGAGAATTTCTAAAACAGACAAAGTTGCTGGAGAATAAAGGGAGTAAGTTTTCAGTAATGCTATGTGTCCTCCTTAAACTTGAGTTGTTTGAACATAAATTGAAATGCTGTAAATTGCTGTTTTTCTTTCCTGTGTGAGCATAATTACTCTGCTTAGTCAAAAAATTAGCAATAAGCAATGATTCAGAAGTATAACTTAACTTTCTATTTCAGGAAAACCAAGCATGTCTTCAAAAGCTAATGTGAGTGGCTCTAAGCTTTCATCGAGTACAAACAGGCTGGCCCTTGTCAGACCTACCAGAGTGTCGTCTCTGCAGGCTACCAATATAGAGACATCCAGGAAGCAAGCAAGATCAGCCAGTACTCCCAAAATGTCTAGTGCCGTAAGCTTGGCTAAACCTTCAGCTTCCGCAGCATCGTCTGAGGTTGTAGGCAGTGGAATTCAGAGTCTGAGCTCTGTTCCCAGTCTGCAGAAGCTATATCAGCAGAATAAAGATGGAAGTGCAACAAAAGGAAGCCTGTGTCCAAAGCCCAAGGCTAGACTTTCGTCCATTCCGACAAGTCAAACCAAGGCTCCAGTGAAGACTGGAGGTAAACATTCTTCACATGCCCTGTCTTCTAGCATGGCTATTAAAAGCAAATGTTACCTTGAATGCTTGCTGTTTCATTACACTTTTGTCCACCTCTTGGAAGGGATTAGTATTGTAACGGAAAGGTATCTGTTAAAAAAATTGGATAGCAATTAACAAAACTTCTTTCTTTAGATACACCACTGAACAAATCGGCACCAAAAGCTACATCATCTCTTGGATTAACGTTTTGTGGCACACTTGGAAGGTAAGGTTTAACTGAAAATTCTGTGTACTGAGGCATACTTCTTAGAATGCAACATGCCTGGGCGTTGCAACAGTCTTTGGAAGTCCTACCTTCATTGTCTAGTCCCTTGAGATCCTCGAGGTTAGCTGTGTTAATGCCTATTGGAACTGATATTAAAAAACCCCACAAACCACAGAACAAAAAAAAACCCAAACCCCAAGACTAAGCCGAACAGCACCCACCCCATGCTCTGCAGAAGGGGGGTTTTGTTGCTGTGCTAAATAGACTAGAGTCATTCATAAAAGAGTTCTTACAAAATAAAGCCCTTACTGTGGCTGTGTTTATCAATTTTATGATGATTGCTGTTCCTTTACTGACCAAAGGGAAACTGATTTCTATTGTTTGGTAGAACAGTTTGAATAAAACTGTTTCTAGAGGTGTTTGGCTAATGCGTGTTCCCTGTTCAGTGCCATGGCAGTTAGCACTCCTGTGAAAGCTTCAGAAGATGGGATCCTTCAGAATTCTTGTTTTCCCGAGAGGTCTGTCGCCATGACTCCTGCCAGTCTGAAACGGTCTGGCTTACCTACACCTGTTCGTCGTATCTCAGGATTTCCAGCGGTGACTCCTAAAACTGCACCAAGAATGGCATTTTCTCCATGTGCTGCATCTGTTCGCCAAAGTTCCACCCTTTCTACCAAAAAGACTTTTACACTTGGGTAAGACTACAACCTCCATATATGAAATGAGTATTGCAGGCAAACTGCCTCTAAATGAATTTTAATGATGACTTTCAGGTTTCAAGGACCTCTGCTAGATGTCAGAATAAAACATTTCAGTGTAGATGCTGTATAGGCCTAATAAAGATTTATATCTTCTGACTAGTAAAATACTATAACCCTTACTGAGATGAATAATATCTAACATAAAATAATTATAATCTCTAATAGGAAGTTACTTGTATTTCTTGAGCTAGCGGGCAACTTAAGATTTGTATCTGATGTTCTGACTGAGAAGATTTGGTGTTGATGATGTTTTGCTATTGCTTTCTGATGAAGGGAAGTAGCTAGGTAAAACTGCACTTTGTTAAAGCATCAGTCAAGGATTTAGTTGACTGAACTTGAGTTTCTGAGCAGGTTTAACTTTGTTTCATTTGAAATAATTGCTTGCAGAAAGGGTGAATCCCACACTGCTGTTAATAATGTTTTTTCTGTGAAAATAATGTTGCCTTCCTATTACCAGCCCAACATCTTCTCACAAGTGCTATATATAGGTATGTAGGCTTGCTTCATGGTTGGTGATGAACAGTATTAAAGCAGAAATGATTCATGGCTAGAAAACTCTTCCTGTATGTCATGTTAGGCTTAAATGTCCAAAATAGTCTCTCTCTCTCGGAAACAGTTACTGTCTCTACAATGACTTTATCATACTAATCAGATTACAACCCCTGGTCCTCCAGCTGGTGTCAGTACTTCCTCTCAGCAGGGCCTGAAGTGGGTGGCTCAGTGACATGCAATATGAGTACTCGTTTGCTAGTTGTTTCTTCAAAGTCTAAAAAACCAAAATCCCGTGTGTGAAATTTAGGCTGCATGTATATGTCAATTTAAGATTAAATTCTTCATCATCCTGAAGTCATTAGCTCTTTTTTTGCAGGGGTAGGCTATAAATTTTATTGCAGCATGAAATATCTTGTATTTTGCAGGTAACTAGCATACTTTCAGATGAAAATATGGGAAGCCTTTTGACCATTAAAATGGTCTAAAAAAAGAGAAAATTGTTAGGGTATTGGCTTGCCTGTCTTTAGTATTTCATGCTGATTAAAGAACTCAATTTTTGCCAATGCTTTTTTCCCTAGTTCTAAACAGACAAAAGAGAGTAAGACACAGATATCATCTTCAGAAGATGATGTATCTCCTCCACCTGTGCTTCCTCTTGCACTTAACTTCTCACCAGAAAAGAATACAGAAGTAGTGGAAAATGAATTAAAAGAGGCTGAAGTACAAAATCAGCTGGCTGAAGAGAAACAAGCTGAGGTAAGAAATGACAATGCATTTTTGTACAGAACTGCTAAGTAAACTGCTTGAAAATACATTATTTCAAGATGAGGGATTAAGTAGGAAAACCACTTCAGTGCACACAAAGTTGAAATGGATTAACTCTTAAGCATGTGCACCCTCTAGTGCCTATTTTTAACTGAACAGCTGTTCAGTGTTTCCACTTAGTCTGTTCCCATCTCAAAGCTGAATGGTCAAATACTTGCAGATTTCATATTAAACTTCCACTTCTGTGCTGTGAAATCCTTGTGGATTTGATTAGAAAAGCAGTGTCACAGGGCAGCTCCTATTGCAGCCATAAAGCCCTTTTGGGGCGGGGGGGGGAAGGCACTGCTGTACCTAGATTCAAACACCTAACAGCAGTGCAAATCTGCATACAATGAGTGAGGATGAAACCCAAAGCCCACGTAGCAGTAAACTGAGTTGTGCCATGTGCTTAGTCCAGTGAACATTTGTCCCCTTTCCCAAGAATCTACTGGCTTTGTGTTGAAAGCTGGCGCTCCACAGGCATTGAGGAGAAAGGACTGAACTGGTAGTCCTGAAATATTAACCTATCAAAGTGGCTATTGATTTATGAGTATTCAGGTGTAGGATAATCTGTAGATTAATTACTTGATGTTGTTGCATCAGTGTTTTCTTTGTTAGCTTGATGACACAAAGTATCTGTTATAGAATTGTGTAGCACATGTATAGAGTAGTTAAACTGGTCAAAAGCATAACTAAAGTTTGGAGCTCTACAGAATAGTTTATATGGCTAAATAACATTGCATAATAATTGTAGTCAAGTCAATATTTAAATATTGAGAGTTACTGCTCTTCTGTTTTAAGTTTGACTTAACTCTGCTTTTGAGTGAAAAATCGTTTTATGCCCTGAGGCTCTCTTGTGCTTTGTCTCACAGCATTTTCCCTATGTGTGGTGCTAGCCACTGCCAGGTTTTTTCACACAATCACTGTGCGAACAATCCTGCATGAGAAATACCCAACATGTAAATTAAGCCTATCCTGTGATTGTTACAGCTGTATGAGCTGAAGTGACAGCCTAAATGTTTATGAACAAGTGTGGAGAACAGAGGGGAAAACATGAACTGTGGTTTGGTGTGGTTTTTTTTTTTTTTTTAAGGCCTTACTGGTAGATATTGGAGTAGACAAATCTCTCCCACACGCTTTGGAAGGTGAAAGCAGACCTCTGATTGACCTTTCCAATACTCCTGAAGTGAGTAAGATTACTCCTCTAAAGCCTACATTTGCAGGGCATGTGAAGGTAAGTTATATTCAAGTCTTCCGGTGCAAATATGCTAGTGGGAAAGTGTCAGCTGGCTGCATGTACTTGTCTGCAGAGCAGCTCCACAATACTGTGAGAATTACTGAATATGAGCTCAATATGATACTACACACTAAGGTGCTCTTAAGTGAAGAGAATGTAATGTTTAAAATCAAACAATGTGCTTTAAACCAGAGGTTAGTGAGCAATCTGCAAATAGGAAAAGGAGGAGGATGGAGGAAGAACTTAATGCTTAAAGCAGTTAAAGAATGAAGCTGTGCTGAAGCAGGAAGTGAATGCTGTCTTCTGTAGGGCAGGCATGCTCACTTGTTTTCCTTTTCCTGCAAATTTTCAATTCTTGGCAGCAGCAGCTCATTTTCAGCAAAAAAGCGAGGCTGTCTCTGCTGTTTAACTCCTCTCCTAACGCCCTCCTTTGTTGAAAGATGTGTGTTGGAATCTGTTCTAAATTTGACAAGTATTTCTGGGCAAGTGTGTGTTTTTTGTACACTAATGGCTTGAAGGTAGATGCCTTTAGGTATTTTCAGATGAATGGTGGTAGCTATGAGGATGTAGCCTTTGGAGACATTAGATGTAGTTGGGATCAATTCGATATCAGGTCCTCGCAAAAGAGGGTCACAGAAGTGTGACTTCTGGGGGAGTGTTCAGAGGACTTAAGTGCCCTGCGCTGCCTGCAGGACAGTGTCACCTGAACATGTGTAGTGGTGAAACTTAAAAAAGCCTTTTAGGCTTTTAAGGTGTGTATGTGCAATAACCCTCTTGAGAAGCTCGTGCTTGTCTAAGAATGAGCTAGATGTTTAAAAACCTGAAGTTAAAGCTTGAGTGTAGTGCTTGTATCTGTCTTCTGGATACTAATTTGAATCCTAAACAAACAAAGTACTTGAAGACTACATTAATAGATGTTATTGCTGCTAGAAGTTATGTACAACAGCTGACTACAATAGCTAAATTTTATTGGTTTTCTTTCAGCTAATTGATTTGAGTTCACCTCTTATCACTCTGAGTCCTGATGTAAACAAAGAAAATCTGGATTCCCCTCTACTCAAGTTCTGAACTTGAGTTGAAATGAAGAATTCATGGCATCTGTGATCTTTAAAGTGTTTAGGTGTTACTTCTTGCTCATACAGGATTTTTTTGAAGACTCCTATAGATTAGGTGAAGAACTGCGTTAACACAATAGAATTCTAACAGTCTTAATATAATCAAACCGAGTCTAATTAATGGTTCTGTTCATGGATGTATTTAAACTGTGTTGCTCTAATTCTCTGTATTGGAAGCCTGTCTCTTTATTTCCTACCAATTGTCCTTTGATTCCTTATTCCTGATGTGCAACAAAGATTTAATTTAAAATAAATGAGTTTACCAAACTGTTGTAGAAAACAGTAACCTTTTATTACAAGCTTTGGTTAGACTATTTTAGTGTTTCACTAACAAATGTTAAGATGTAGGTAAAGCTAGTGGACTTCAGGGTGGCTTTTCATCGAAAGTGTAGCAAGAAAGCATAAGACAGGCATGGACCTGCTTGAGCAGGTCCAGAGGAGGACCACAAAAATGATTGGGGGGCTGGAGCACCTCCCCTGTGAGGACAGGCTGAGAGAGTTGGGGCTGCTCAGCCCAGAGAAGGCTCCAGGGAGACCTTATAGCGGCCTTTCAGTACTTAAAGGGGGCCTGCAGGAAAGGTGAGGAGGGACTCCTGATCAGGGAGTGCAGTGATAGGACATGGGGTAATGGTTTCAAGCTGAAAGAGGGGAGATTGAGATTAGATATTGGGAAGAAGTTTTTCACTGTGAGGGTGGTGAGACACTGGCACAGGCTGCCCAGAGAAGCTGTGGCTGCCCCCTCCCTGGCAGTGTTCAAGGCCAGGTTGGATGGGGCTTTGAGCACCCTGGTCTAGTGGAAGGTGTCCCTGCCCATGGCAGGGGGGGTTGGAACTAATCTTTAAGGTCCCTTCCAACCCAAACCAATCTACGAAGTTTGGGAATAAACATTTTACTGTTGAATGTTAGTGGAATACACTAACAGCAACAGCTGAATTTGTGTGATTCAAAGGAGAAAACAACAGCTTGTTACTGGCAGATGGTTTAGTCTTGGCATTTGAAGGCTAGTCTTGAACTTTTTTGCTCTCAAATAACAGAAGAAAGATTTCTACATTAATTTGTCACACTTAGATAATACGTGGAGTTTTTAAATACAGGCAGGTGAATGGAAATGAAAATGCACACAGTAGTAGCCCATAAGTGTTGAAGCAACAAGCCTGTCTTGGTGACTAGATACTCCTGTTGTGTATGTCCTAGCTGAATGTATTTATGAAAGTTTATCAAGAGTTAAAAATGGATTTTCAGCTGTCTGTATTAATTGAAAAAGTGGTGGAAGTAGGAGACTCTTAATTTTTTAGGAAGAAATGTTCAGATGAGCTTGTCAAACACTTCAATGTTGAACAAGGCTGCTGCCTTGGCTTTATCTGAAGGCACTTGCCTACTTCTCAGCACAGCTGCCTTTTCTGGGTACTGCAGTGTCAGACTGTTCTGAATGAAGGCCTTTGGCCTGGTTGAGAAGACAGAATTCTGAGTCAGAGGAAGCAGCCATGCTGCCTGTTCCTGCCACCTATGAACCATAAAACCATAGCATTTGTATAGTTTGCTTGTTCCTGCTTTCCTTCTGTGAAGAGGGTTTCTTCAAACAAAGTAATTACCAAAACATTATTTGAACTAGTGCTGTGCAGTTAAAACTAATACTCAAACCAGGTCCTCAACCAGTCTTTAAATGGGGGGGTAAATGAGTTTGGTTCCATATTTCTAAATTGAAAGAGAAAAAAAAACAAACCCAAACTTGTTTCTTTTGAGTGATGTATTTGTGATTTATTTTTAGAAAAGAGTTAAAATGGGTTTATGCCCTGCAGTTCAAGGACTTGCAGGAAAGCCAAGGCCTCTGGGCCCCTTGAGAACTAGTTTGTAAATGTATGCTTCGCCAGGCAGCAGATCTAAATACCGGGTTTGAGTATGACCACACCACCTTATGAACAAGGGGCAGTCATCTGCCAGTTGAAACACCCCCCAGCTGTGGTCCTAAAGCAGGCAGCTGGATACTGGGATTCACCACCTGTCTTGACTAGCCTAACTATTCATGGGAGCTGGGGCACTGAGTTGGCAGCTCACTGTGTCTTCAACTGAGAGCCACATTCCAACTTCAAGGTTACAGGTCAGTCGCTCCAACATCCAGAGGTGCTTGAAGCAGGGCTGGTGCAGGATGTCTGCGTGGGGCAGGGAGCTAGCGGAGATGGTGCTGCTCTGTAGCAGCAGCTGGAATAACCTCTGGCTTATTGACAATGGACATGAAGCAATCAAACGGAGACCATCACCTCTTCTGGGTCTTCCTTCGTCCAGCTGCTCGCGGACGCTTGGAGGGCTCTTGGTTGAAGTGGAGGGTTCTGGCTGGCCTGAAGCGGGGACAGCCGTGGCCCAGAAAGCTCTCCTGATTTTTCCACCTCGAACACCGCCTTATCTCCCCCC